CTTATCCTTTATTGCCCCTTGTCCAATCTCATCCCATCCCCCTCTCCCTCCCCTTCCCCCCCACTAATTACCCTAGATTTCTTCTCTCCTTCTGAAAGAATAATGGTTACTCTGTATTTGTCCAATGCTGAGAGGTGTGATCAGATCCCCCAATATTATCGTAGAGCAGATACTTCTTCTGTCACTCTGAAAGAGGCTTTGTGGAGAGAGACATCCTCTTTTCTTTATCTCTGCTGGTGACTCTTCTTGTGTCACTTCCAGCACTACAGTGGCTGGAAGACCATCTGCATGGTGATTGTGGCATCTAGCCGCTTTTGCGGCAGCCATGGCTATTGTGGTGGCTGTGGTGGGCCATCCACATGGAAGTGATGTTTTTGGCATACTACTTGGCACAGGGAGTGTGCCTGGTTGTGGGGGGATTCCATACCTTGGGTCCCCAGGCAGGCCCTGGGGCACCGGCATGGTGTGCCTGGTTGTGGGAGGTGAGTCCAGTCCCCTTCTCCATGCCTAGGGTCCCTGGGTGGGCCCTGAGGCACTAGCACAGTGTGCCTGATTGAGGGGAGGGGGTCTGGTCCCCAGCTCCATGCTGCACATCCCCGGGCAGACACAGGGACCTGCAGGTGTGTCTGAGCCTGAACTAATTTTTTGGTCCTTTGCTTACTTCTAAAGTGGGGGAACTTCCTGTTGAAGTTGAGCTCTGTGGTTACTTGAGCTCTGTGGTTACATTTATTTATTTATTTCTTATTGAATGCTTAATTGTAACCAAGATGTGTGTTTAAGAGAAGAAACAATGCCTTTATTTCTTTAAATATATATCAGCCTTGTGGTTTTCAGAGTGTTTGCTTACTCACAGCTATGCCAGCTTTTCATTTCTACCTTTTGGTTGGAATACTTAATAAGGAGCAAAAGGAATCACTAAGAGCTCATGATTAGGCAATTAATAAACAATTTCGCATTAAAGAGAAATTCCAGAGATGATTCAATAATATATCCTAAAATATAAAGAAAATTCTTTCCATGGATTATTCAAATGATGATACCAACCATTTCACAAATTATACCACAGTAGTTCATTGTAATCTATTTTTCTCTAAACTTCAACTCATCATCTGGTATAGAAAGGGAAATACATAAATTATTTCATCATGTCAGATGGAAACCAGTATACGTGGCAAAACAAAACATGTAGGGAAACAAAATGAAAAGGTCATGATAATAGAATATCTTCACTAAAAAAAAAAAAAAAAAATGGTGTCAGTGGCTCTCAAAATAATTCAAAGGTTTGACTGACAGCCAGCACCTTCATCATAATGGAAGCAAGCAATAGTACAATAAAATTTACAAAACTAGTTGAAAATACATTTACATAATTCTGCCTTTCTAGTCATAATTTTAATTTTATTATTTTATTATTTTTATTTATTTCCTTTTTGTCTTTTTTTCATGTCCAGCAACGGATTGCAACCCTCAGTGTCTTGCCCGTACCGGACCGGGACAGGCAATGGGATCGCAACCCTCGGTGTTGCGCCCACACCTCGCTCAGCCAGTGAGCGGCCGGTCTGTATGTGGGATCCGAACCCTCGGCGGGAGCGCCGCCACACTCCCAAGCGGCGCACTGTAGCAGTGCGCCACCGGGCTGGCCCCATAATTTTAATTTTAGGTTGAAGTTTTTTATCTATAGAAAAAGGATTGCTGCCTTTGGGTTTAGCAGATTTTTCTCTTTTCTTGACTCTGAATTTTCAGACTCTGAATCCAGGTTGCCTGGTTTAAAATCACAGTTGTGCCATGCTGGGTCTATGGGCTTGAGCAAGTTAAACCTTCTCTTTGCCTCATGAGTTCATGCAGAAAAAATACATAGAACTGTGCCAGACCCATAGACAGTTCTCAGTAAATGTAAGCTATTATTATTGTTACATACAGAATAAAAATAAACCTACTAGAAATATAAGAGTACTTTTTACAAAGGTGAGGTATAGATTGAGTATGGGCCAAAAGGCTTCCACATCCAGGAAGCCAGAACAGAAGCTAAAATCAATATTCTGCTTACCTGTAGTCCGGCAGGAAAACTTGGTTTTGTGATCACACAATCGTATGGTACCATTGCAGCCCTTTTCATCACTACCGTCTTCACAATCTTTTTCCCCATCACAGCGCCACAGATCAGGAATGCAGTTTCCATCAGGGTGGCACTGAAATTCATTCCCATCACAACCAGCAGGAGAACGAATCTCTTAATTTGAAATGAGGGAGAGAGAGGCAGAGGAAGAAAGACAGCAGAGAAATTATGATTTTATTTGATGATAATTTTTTTCACATTTTTTCTTTCTTCCGGCAGTATTATGATGCTAGAGAGAATATATTTTCACTTTAGATGTTAAAGCTGTAATACTCTCTAGTATTTTTAAAAACATTAATCACTAGAGAAAATGATATTTATTGCCTGCTGCAGAATTCTTGAAAGTGCTACATACTCTGCAAAGAGCAAGTAAGACACTGTGTGGATATCTTGTGTTGGTTTTAATTAGTGTTTCAAGAATGAGATATTTGAAGGGATTTTCTCTAAAGTACACAAACAAGGTCTCACATTCTACTCGTAATGATAAGATTTTCGTTGACTTTTTTTTTTAACATTTCTCTAGGTAATTTTCTTCTAATTATTAAGAGGTAAATAATGACAAAAATAATTAGTACTTTCTGATTAATTGAATCTTTGAAGAATAACATCTCCAAATTTGAAAAACAAACAAACAAAAACCCCAGGTAATAAATACAAACTTTTCAGGATATAAGATTTCAACTTTAGAATCATAACAGACACCTATACATAAAAATTAAACGAGGCACTATGCATTCAAATTCAATTTATCAGTTAATAATTTAGACAATGCTCAGACAACACCATTGCCCAAAATCTCATGACTAAAAATATAGGATAAACTCTTCAGTATGCATAAGTAAGGAAATATGAATGTGGGATATAGATGTTTTACACCATAACAATTGAATAATATAACTGTAATCAGAAGTTTATTAAAATTTTTATTAATATATAGTAACATGAGATACCATTTTAACCAGTATCTTCAAATACTATTATAAAATGAAAATTTTAGTATATATTTTTCTAGACCAAAGTTTTAAGGTAACAAATTTATTGTGTACCATGTGTAGCTATACCCAGCAATTAATCTATAAATTATGATAAAGATGAAGCAGGTTCATGTGAGTTACCCATTAACTAGCATGCTGGTTTGGTAGAGATTTATGGTTACGAGTTAAGATTAGATTCACTTAAATTCAAAGCTAATAATAACACTGATATCACCAAAGCAGTTGTTTAATTTTCTGAGATCTCTATTTGTTCAACTGAAAAGTATAGAGCCTACAGGGTTGTTGCAGGGATTAAATTATATATCCAGGGATTAAATTATATATTTTAACTACAAAGTTTTGTTATTTTCTTTAATTTAGGTGATATTACTTATATTATAATTTAAAGTTGAGTTCTTGACTAAGTTTTATCTTTATTTCAAGGCTTTCAATGATTATAATTTGTCTGGTGACACAGTATTGCAAAAATGTACAAGATGGACTTGACTTTACTTCCCAAGTATTCCTGGAGCAATAAAGCTGAAATAATAAATAACCAAGAAAAAATGTCCCTAGTGAAGCAAAGGTAAAGAATTTCTGCTGGTAGAAAAAAGGAGTTCCAATTCACAGAAAAACTGTAGGACTAATTTTCAGAAGTAATCACTGCTAAGAACACATGCAGTAATCCTATACCCAATTTACAGAGAAAACATTGAGTTTTGATCGTTTTGAAGCCCCTACCAATAAAAGCCTTTCTTTTTTTCTATTTTCTTGGTGATCCAAATCATTCTATATAGAAGTATGGCTTAACTACTATGGTGGTAAAGAATTACTTTGGGACTGGTTTTATAAATAAGATATTGTGAAATCTTTAAACCTGGGATGTAACTTGAAAATCCTATGGGATTTCAGTATTCAGGAAGCAGAAAGGAGACAAATCAAATGGACTTCCAAGGCCCATCAGCTATGTAGATAGTTCTTTGATGAAGAAGCCAACCCCATGGAAAGGCCTTTGGTTCTTTTTCTTGCTATTTATCCTTCCTTGATAACAAACAAAATGAACCTTGGCTCAACTAAATTGTGTAACCTATAGTATGAGCTCAACCAATAACACAAAAAAATTGTCTTTCAGGTAATTGTCAGTCAGTGGATCCAAATATTTAATAAAGAATGAAAAGTGTAATCTATTGATTTTTCTACATTTTCTAAAAAAGAGTTGAAGCCTGGCAGCTCATATATTGAATTTGTTCCTCACTATGTTTAATTTGGCAAGCACAGTATTGGCCTTTTAAAAATACTACAAATTTCCTATAAAAATCTAGATTCTTCAGTACCTTGAAAAGTGGAAAGAGTGTCAGGCTGGCATCTGTGTGGGGTACTAACTGTACCTGCTTTACATGGGTCCAAACTGAATTAAGTTAGCAGCTCCCTGATATAAAGGAGAGACCATATACTTATTTCTATTGTTTTTTCCATACTAGATTTTTTTAGTTATTGATGTGGGAGCGGATTTGAGGTAACTGCTGTATGTTTTCTTTTGTTTTCGAACTCTACTTCTGAGAAGCTGTAAGAAAAAATTCATTTCACTCCTGCCTCGATGTTAATATGAATTCTACTTTCCTAAGCAAGTTAATTTTTCTACTTTATGAATGCTTTTCATAAATATTTTTGAATATTTCTGAAACTAATCATGTTTTCTTTTTTGCAATTGCTTAAAACTTGGAACAAAATTTATGGACCACTTTTTTATGATACAATTTTCTTTGGACCAATCTCATCCTCAGATTAATTTACGTTACTATTCCTTATTCTGCCTTTGTAAAGTCCTTCCTCTTACAACATATAATCTGTCAAGGGTACAGTCTAGATTATTTATGGAACTGATCAGAGGGCCACTCTTCAACAGAAGAGTGACACGCAAGGAAGTTTTAAAAAGAAATAACATATTTTACATTTCATTTTACCTAATTTAGGAAATAGTTTATTAACTTCAATAAAATTAAAGGTCTAGTTCTTTCAGGTCATGTTCCTTAACCATTAACTCAATGACATAATGAAAAATTCTGAACAAGAAAATTGTTTAAACTCAGAAATCCAGATAGATTAACCTGATTAGGAAAGAGATTTGCAAAAGTTAAATTGCTGCTTCTGGAGAAAGGGTTTCTTCAGATTCTAGCAAGGACATGCTTCTCCAGAAAGTAAAAGAAGACATGAGTAGAGGTTGGCTGCCCTTGAAACCCAACAAATTTTGAACAGCCTCATGGGAAATAATGCAGTTTGTAGCTGTTAGCAATCAGGCACGACATATTTTCAAATAGAGTCCTGGTCTTATAGACATAGAAAACATGGATAAGTTCAACATTATAATTCTGCATTTTTAAAATTAGAGAGCAGAAATTTTAAGTATTTACTCAAGGGAACACAGGTTAACCTACAGCAGATCTGGCACTATGGCAACTTTACATCTAGAACCTTAGTCTTTCAGTCCAGTTATTTACAGCTAAGAACAAGTTGTTATTACAAATATACAAAGACCAAAGCAGAATCTCTGAAGAAACAGATCACCCTGCTATTGTCTAAGATTTATTTTTATTCCATTTGCATTTTCTTTCTTTTTTTGCTTTGCTTGGTATTGTTTGGTTTATCTAGTTTTTGTTCTAAATAAACATTTACCTTAAATTTAAATACAAATCTGATATTTTCCTGGGGATTTTCTTTTCTTCTTCTTTAGCTACCCATGTCTAAATCTTTGTGGGATAGTATAACATCTATTAACCACAAACAATCAGATTACAATAACTTAAAAGTGAGTCTTTAACAGGAAATATGAGGGGTCCTCCAAAAGTTCATGGAAAGATTTATATTATCATTTAATTATATTTTTCCACAAAGTTTTTGAAGTAACCTCTTACAATATACCATTATAAATATCCAAACATAAATGGGGAAACAATTCCCTTAATAATGCTCACACACGTGTCACTAATGTGTAACTCCTGGTCTTGGTTATTATTCTCCCCAACCTGGATTGCATTCCTGTCACCACTTCACCTATTAATGTCCATAACTTTCTTGAAGACCTACCTTTATTTAAGTGAACTGTCTAGAATTGGTCTCTTATTCTCAGGTCTGTAGATTCAGGTACTTCATGGATAAGCTTTAAGAGATTTACAAAATCTCAGAAATGG